TAACTGCCACCACCAGTCTCTTTAAATATCCAACATGTCAAGTCCCTTCTCCTCAGAGACTGTCAGAGAAAGAGCGGCGTCAACAAAAGGCCGCGGTCGGTATGTAGCGTTCTCTATCTGCTGATAGGAGCCGACATGGCAACCTGCAGCGTAAGCAGAGCCGGTTATTAGCATGATGAGCCGCTGACACAACCAGCACACACAGAGCAGCTTCTCCATTTTGAAAAGACCTCATCATGAAGCCACTCATGCATGGCTGCTTTTGTTAAATGAGTTGCATGCCCCTTACACCTGTTACGATACAGATTATTATTGAATCATATTATATAATAAAGGGCAATTAAAATATATGCAATCAGTTTACAGGTTCCATTAACCTTATACAGGTGTGGCTTTTTCCCTTTTAAAATGATACTTACACTTTAGCTACCGTATTGCATTAGAGTGCATCCGTGCTTTACAGTTGCTGGGGTGTGTGTGTGTGTGTGTGTGTGTGTGTGTGTGTGTGTGTGTGTGTGTGTGTGTGTGTGTGTGTGTGTGTGTGTGTGTGTGTGTGTGTGTGTGTGTTTTTCTTTCCAGCAAAGCCATTAGGTATCCTAGTAGTGATTCCATGTTATGCCTTTAGTGACTTTCCAGACAAGTCAATGAGAACAGAGCTGAGAGCACGACTAAAAGCTTGGCTCTCAGCTCCGTTTCCTACCTGCACACACGCAAAACATCACAACCAAGGGCACACAAACAACTCTTTGACAGCCCTATTCCATGAGTTTTCTCAGAAACAAACACAGTGGATGAAACAAGGAGTGTCTCTGACCAAAGTAAAAAAAGAAAAATGGCCAAAATGAAAGAAAAATGAACACAGAGCTGCAAACATATGAGGGTGAGTGATTAGCAAAATGAAATGTTCCAAGACCCAGACAAAGTCAAAAACTGAAAAATACTCAGTTTACACTCGTATAAGACAAAAGAAAGCAGCAAATTCGCTCATTTTAGAAGCTGGTTTGGCATTTGATAATAAGACATGTAATTCAATGTTCTGTTGATAGAAAACAGAGTTCAATACACTTACTGTACTGTATCTGCTCGTGTCAACAGAAACGTTATCAACAACCATTTAGAATGTCAATAAAGTAACTTATCAAGGCTCCAATATTAGTTTTCTCTTTATTGTATATAGCTGTGATATAAATCTTTGGCTGGAAACATTAAGACATTCAAAACATTATTATTATCATTAATTGAGCACAAGTATCTTAAATTGACCTGAGTCATAATTCTGGCATTTTATACACAAATCAATTGACTGATTAATACCACAAAAAGGTATACACTCTTAGTTGCCTCTTTAATCAGGCTCAATGTTTGGGTAACCATAGGAAATATACTGTACACGCTCATCCAGAAAAAAGGAGGATGGCTGGATGAACATTTTATAGAAACGAGTTGTGTGTGAGCGCCTCACAAACGCTGCTGCAGGAGAACTTCAGGGATGTAGAGCCTGTTCAACACTAGAGAGAAGTATCCTGCTATGTGAGGGTATCACAGGACAAAAGGATGACAAACTGATATGAGATAAATGAATGAAAGCCTGACAGAAACATTAAAAAAAAACGGCAGACAGAGACTGCGGGTCAGCGTGGCCCAGAGTGCAGACATAACTAAAAATAGATCCAATCCTCCTCCGGCTTACAGCCCTGAATCACAGTGACCCGCCCCGCTCCACCGAGCAGAGACACAGAGAGAGAGAGAGAGAGGAACAGAGACAGATGGAGGCGTACATAGAAAGAGAAAGTTGAGGCATTTTCTGACACTGATCATTTCCACCTCCTGTCAGACATTGCTCCATCAACAAGTGAGTGGAGTGAGACGCTGCGTCACTGAGAGGTCAGTCTGGGGTCAGCGCTGAGGATCAGGTCGCCGATCAGAAGGACTGTAGAGATAATGAGGAATGATTAACCATGCATTACTTCGCATTCATTATTAAGCTCTGCTCCGATTCAAATCATTTAGGATTATTAATATATTGCATTTTCATAAAGGAATATTCTAAATACTCTATTTTCAGCATTAATATCATTATTAATAGACAATTGTATAAATTGTAATATACACATTTTACATATTTATTGCTGTCATGTATTGTAGTACTAAGTGCACATTTTAAGTTCTCTATGTTTATATAAATATATTTTTATTTATTAGAATAACATTTATTTTATTCATTGATTTTTATTCTAAAATGGACCAGCCAAAATCCAATTTCCCGCAGGTATAAACAAAAAATATTTACAATCTTAAGTCTGTAAATCTGGTGGTAATAATGTCAAAGTTCTAATTAGCTGGTATTTCTATTTTTTACTTGTATTCAACTATTAAAAGCTGTTTAGACTAACACCAAATTGTCAAGAACTGTAAACGTTTCCCCCCCCCGACCGACAAGCAACTTCCCTCGTCTTTTCTGCAGTGTGATAATCCGACAGAGACGGACCACCGTTCTGCTCTACTGGACCCCAGAGTCAGATCTAGTGATGCCCACAACTCAGCAAAGAGATGGAAGAGACGTAAAAAACAGAAAGAAATAGAAATAAGTGTCCACAGCCATGCTAACGGCTCTGTGAGGCCGTACTGAGGCACAGAGGTGCTTTCAAATGAAATGTACTTATATTTTAAGTCTCTTAAATGTGTATCAAACATAAAAATGTTTCACAAGAGTCTAAAGAAATCTTTATTTTCAAATGATTAAGACATTACAGTATAGTTTTTTTTAACTCTATGTAAAGTGTTACCAAACGGTCTCCAGGCAGTTTGGGTGTGGCTGGCAGGGAGTGCTAAATCAAGCCATTAAATGAAGGTTAATCTGACCCCAGCTGACCTGCTGAGACAACATCAGGCTTGCTGCAGGTTTCTGGACAGAGTATGTTTTTTCCTGTCAGGCATACAGCATTTGTAGATATGGTTTTCTAAAGTAAATGCCCTTTCAATGAGTGATGTGTTTCTATGGGAGTATTTGCATGTGTATGAACAACACACCAGCTAACATGGGTTATAGGTCACTACTGCTTTGGGATAATCAAGACATATGCTGGGGTACACAAGACAGGGCTGGGAGGGGCTAACCAATCCGTAAATCCCTGGATTTTTTGAGGAAACCAAAAAAAGGGACAATAAGTGTTGGACAAATGGAGATGTGGACGTTTTAGTAGCACTGGAATAAAAGAGAATCACCAGGGAAATCCATACAGTTCAAGAAATTGTGTCCAGGACAAAATATTTGGATCAAAAGACCAAACGCTCCCCGATGAAAGTGAAGAAATATAAAGAGTTTTTTGTGTTTTTCTTGTATTTTATGGAATCCCTTGTGATCCTTATTAATCATTAAATCTAAATAGAAAAAAACCCCAGCATTATTTTTGTCCTCCAAACTAAAACACTGTCCTTTTAAATAATGGATCTGAAAAGCGGAAGTCTGTCTTCATGTAAAAGACGGACAGTCATTTCACTTGTGGAAGTGAAAAAAGGGACTTCACAACGTCCCCAAAAGTGTTAACACATCTACAAATAAACAGCAGCCACCTTTTGGTTTCTTACTTTGCTACAAGTCCAGTTTTCTCCTTGTCACCTCCACACTGTGGCTAAGCTAAAACATCATGAGATTAACGGTAAATGAACTTCATCACAACCACGCTGCCAGCTCGCCGTGCCACATGTCATTGGGTGCATTTAAAGATTATCAGTATTAGAGCTGTGTGAGCGGTCACCCTGTTGCTCCCTTATATCAGGACAATGCTCGGTTCATTAGGTCGAGAAAGGATCGGTTCATTAGGTCGAGAAAGGATCGGTTCATTAGGTCGAGAAAGGATCGGTTCATTAGGTCGAGAAAGGACAAAGTTCATGAGTTAAGTTTCCTTTTTTTTTACTAATATAGAAAGCTATTTTAGTACTAGCATGCTTTGCGTCAATCATCTTCTGTATTACTGTAGACCAGGGGTGTCAAACTCAATTTCATCGCGGGCCACATTAGCATTATGGTTGCACTCAAAGGGCCGGTGGTAACTATATAAAATACATATATAAATATATAATATATATAAAATAATGTATTATATGACATTATTGCCTCTGCATTGGATTATTATCGGATAGGGTAATAACTTAGTAATTAACTACGTCTGAAAGCAGAAGTCCAGGGCAAATAATTGCAAGTATCTTCAGTGCGCATGACACAAAACGAGATGCATTGTGGGACATGTAGTTTATGGCCAACCTGCTTCTGTAAAGTGGCATGTAACCGTATAATAAATGTATTATATTCTTTGCAAACTCTTGCGGGCCACATCAAATGAAGTCGCGGGCCGGATTTGGCCCCCGGGCCTTGAGTTTGACACCCCTGCTGTAGACAGAAGCATGCCATGGTGTTGAACTGTATTTTAAAAAACATAACTTCATGTCTCATTAAGAAAATGAATTAATTCACTTTTTGAAGCAGGGGTCAAGATATCTTTGCCTTCTATAATAGTTATTACTTTTATGCCAAACATCCTTTATTCAGAGCTGATTTAAAATGCAGAGCAACAACTTATATTAAAAACGTTGAGGGAGAGTCAGACATTGAGCAGCCAGGCAGTAGAGCAGGTTTTAAAATGTTCAATTTCCTTACTTGGCTGTTTAATAACACCACCTATCATTTGTTTGTGTGTGGCTATATTTGAATAGCTGATATTTCTGTAGAATTCAAGGTATGACAGAAACGTTCCCAACAATGCTGCCTGTTTATTCCTGCAGCTCAGACAAGAACTTTGCAGGAGGGATGTAAAAGAAAAAACGTGTCATTATAATTCCACCCAAATGAGTTCTAAGAATAGACCTGGAGGCAAATACTGGCACCTTTGCTCAGGCACATAAATAACAGAGCCCGGGTTCCCAGCCTTCATGTGTCAGAGAGCAGCCTTGATCCTCGCTTAGTGATAAATAATCACTGATGAGCGGCTGTGCAGCGAGACAGGCTTCAACCCTGACAATGACCGGCTCTGAGAGGTGATCAAACACACTCGCGCACACCGACTGATCTCTCGGTTATTCCCTGAGAGAAGGGATAATGGCTCCCATTGTGCGTAGAAACTGCCAGTACTTTATGTAGAACATGAAGGAACACATGAACAAACATCCAGATACGACACAAAGTTAATGCAGCCAGTAGAGCCATGTTCAGAGTGACAGCTGACGGAGATCATGTCTGACAGCTGAGAGGCAGATATACAGCCTCTGCAAGTTAATCCAACTCAAAGACAAATAATGACATTACTTTTTAGGTGCCTGGATTGCTCCAACTAGCAAGCATGTATACAGTTGATGTTTATTTTGGAGCTTGTTGAACAAGTCCTTGCGTTGTCTTAGCACAAAGGATGTAATGTTGTATTAGCTTAACTTGAGAAAATACAGGGTTACAATGCTTTGTGTAAGCAATGAGCTGTGTGAGCCATTATTATACTTTCCTCTGACAAGTTTGTTTTCATTTAAGCAGAGGTTGTGCTCACATGTAAAGTATATCATGGCATCTATCCGGAGATATACTGTAGATGACTAGTGTTTACTTTTATTTTCATTAAGAGTAATTGCTTGGTTGTTTAGATTTCTAAAAATGTAAATGCTTGGTAATGCATGCAAAAAGGAATGTTGACTTAAACTAATATTTGCAGACAACCTGGAAACATTTAATCCGGCTGTTTTATTGACTATATAAATAAGATACATAAATAAAATACAAAAAGTTAAAGGCAAGTACTGGATTATCTGAATTCATTCCAAAACATGCATCTAATCTTACCCAAATAAGGAGAAAAATATGATGCCAAGTTACTGTTTTTTTTATTTAAAATGAGATGAGTCATTGGAAAAAGTTCTGACATCAAACTACTAAGTTCATGTTGCAGCTCATTTTATAATTACAATTCAATGCAGTTTAAGTGGAGGTTGTCTTCATTGCACTAAGGCCTTCACAAAACCTACCCATGGGCGTCTGGTTACGTTTCTAAATCTGGATTGTCCTGACTGATTGACAGCAGAAAGATAGCTTTAATAAACGATCAGTTATGTGTTGGGACTAACCAACTTAAAAGCTAGTCCAGAAACATATTATTCCTTTAATACTTTCATTAGTTGCTAATAATAGTCAAAATGATATTCAGCATCTCATTTACAAATATAATCACATTATTGCAAGGACTTTATGACAGTAAGTTAACATTTGAGAAAATAGACAGAAACATTGCTCCCACTAATTAACTAATGGATCTGCTCCACTGCTCAAGCGCCTGTGCCCGAAATGTGTTAAGCCAGTCTGCCCTGAATAGGACTACTGTGAGAAGACTTTTATTTTGAAAGGCTGTTTTGATTGTTACCTTGGAAGCAGAAACAAACGCTCAAACTGTGTTGGTGGTGTGCCAGTGGAGTCCAGTGCTTTGTGTACTCAACAGGAGTACACACTTCAACTAAATGATGAAGCCACACACTCGACTCCATTGAACAATTATACTAGGACACTACAAACTGTTGTTAAAGCTGCAGAGCATCTTTTAGTAGAGATTATCAAATGATTTTAGTTGGCCAGCAGGCAGGTGTCCACTGTTAAAGGGAAACTATAGACAGGCGTAAGTGAGAGTGCTGGTCAAATATTCTTTTGGATAAATATTTGCCTTGTGTAAAGAAATATAAAAGGGTGCTTATTCAACAAAAGGTGAACAAATATGTACTGAGATCACCATGAGGGCCGCATGTGGCCCCCACCTCCTCTTTTTGCGGCCCTCAAGATACATTTATAAACAACGTAATTAATTAAAGCACTTCTTTACTTGTAGTACTGATACCGTCCACTAGACTCCTAGTTACGTCGCGATCTGCGTATATGATTTCGTTCGGCAGCCAAATACCGCAAACTAATCTGTGACGCGTGTGTGTGTATTGTGTTTGTTTCCCGGGGAAATACTCACAATAAACACTGGCTGTTGTTATGCCCGCTGTGACGTTAAGTTGCCTCTTGTAATTATGCCTTTACAAGCTTAAAAGTTGTATTTATCATCTGAATTTGGCGAAACAAGTTTAATATTCTAAAAACCAAGACTTTGTTTATTTAGTATATTTGTTCATAATTACATGCAATACATGGAATTTGTGTGTGTGTGTGTTCCAAGTGAATCTGCGGCCCCCTGGTGGCCAGTACATCAATTATGTGGCCCCCACCACCATCAAAGTTTCCCATCCCTGATCATGGCGGTGTAGTTTCCCGATTCTGCATGTCTCATAATATAACAGTCGAAAGCACACACCAATAAAATTATCACATATGCAAAGTGCATGTTGGACACAGAACAGTCTGTTAAAGGTGGGGTAGGTCAGTTTGAGAAACCGGCTCGAGATACACTTTTTTTTATATTCCATGGAATGCTCTTAACATCCTGATAGCAATGAATATCTGAAGTGCTTTGACAAAAAATCCATACAAAAATGTAATCTGTGGAAGCCGTAGTACTGTAAAAAGCACGACCAATCATCTGAGCCGGCCCGGCTAAAATAACTGGATGGCCTACCTGCCTGTCAGCCTTCCATCTGTGCACTAACTTATCTCGTGCCCTCATTGGTCATGTGCGCGTACGTGTGTGTTGGAGGAGGGGCTCTGTAAGGAAGTGGCAGATTTTTTCCGGCTGTGTATTTTCAAATTCTAGCGCACTCCAAAATTACCTACCCCACCTTTAAGTAACACACTTAGGAGCTGACAGTGAAATAAGAGCAGGAGAGTGATGTATTAAAATTTAAATAAAGTAGAAACAGTGTTTGGAAATATGCAGCTCATGACAATTAGTTTGCTTGACCAGTATCAAAATAAACAGAAACCCGAAAGCAACAATAACTGAGTCATAGTTCAAGACCACCACTTATTAGAAGATGTCAAATATGTTTAAATTAATCATCAGTCAAAAGGCTTCACTTTTATTTATCTTTACTTATTTAACAACCACAACCTTGCCGCACATCTATGCTCAACGATCATAAGTTCGCTGATATTTACACAGTTGGTCAAAGGAAGTAACTAGATGGGCATATATGAAGGGCGGCGCCTATGCGAATTAGGAGTATATCTTCACACAGGCGAAAAAATAACGCTGAATATTCAAGGAGCTTCCAAATACAGGCGCGGAGTCTCTGATGAGACTGCGCACCAT